ATCAATGCCCATGGAGTGTTAAAGTAATTGTGCCATAAGTTCGCCTTCCACAAGTTCCACTTTCTGTTGCAATGTTCGTTCACTCTCGTGAATATATCGGAGTAGAAGAAGTCCTCATCTGAGAACAGAACAGAGTCGCCGAGTCTGTTAAGCATGGTGGCAACGACTTCATGATCACCCAACCAATTGTCAAGAACTCCACAGCGACAAAGTAATTCAACGTCCTTTCCTGTGTTGATGAGGCGATCCATGAATGTAATATAATCCGTGAAGGGTTTTGGGGAAGAATCCTGGACGTACTGTTCATAAGCCACGAAATTACGAAGGATGGATTCTGTATGATCGTCGATTATTAGGGTTGGAATTGACATCACCTCCTTTTGAAACTCTATATGAAACATGTTTCCCTCTTTTTTCTGGAACTTGATCCCGGCCTCATGGAGCTCAGTTGCACAACGAATGAAACACCATTTTCGCTCTTCAAGCATTACTGCATGTAGCGATGCTGAAGGTTTTGGCAATGGAAGTGTACGAGTTACATTATCATGGAGCCAGGCCAGCATATGCTTGGCTTCTAGATTCCCGTCACGTGCTATACTTGAAGATCGTGGATTCTCGGCATGTTGTGTAATTGGAAGTCCTGGCACCATTCTATCAAAGCAAGTAATTACAGTTTCGACAATCTTGTCGCTTTCACCCCTTTGTAACGGACCGACCCGATTCGCCCACAGGGAATATAACTTGAGAAGTACCGAGAAAGTTTTCAACTAACAGCAGATCGCGCTTTACATTTCTCCAATAAAAATCATTAAGCCCATGTCTACCGAGGGAAAGCCCAATGATAAAGAATCCATCAAGAAGCATCATTTCTACCAGTTTTTCCCCATCAATATTCAGATTTTCTGAATAAAATCCGCGAATTTCTTCTTCCATTTCTCTCAAGGCCGCCACATATATCTCCACACTATTTTCTTGTGTGTGATGACGAATCAATTGTAGGTAATTCATTTTCTGCAGCTGCATTGCCTTAAGGTCCTCTTTACCATGGTGGTAAGGGCCAATGGAGATCACTAGAGGTTCATAGGCCTTTTCATTTATATTGCGTAAATGATTAGGCACTTTGAAAATACGACAGGCTGAAAAATCTACGAAATCATGACCATCGACCTCTCGATTTATTCCATCGTGAAGAGCTTCATCTATTCCACATGCCAAAAAAAAAAAAAAAAGGAACAATTACTGAAGACTTCTACTCATTTGTCCAAATGGAAAAAGAAAAATAAATTGAATCAGTTAGGTCCAACTTAGTTTGTGAGAAGGCAAGTCTCAGGGATCGTCCAATTGCCATGTAGTATTTGGTACTAGCATGTGTTTAGCGTGGACTTCCCAAAATAACACATTCTTTATTGCATAAAGAACAAGTTAAGGCAACATCAGAAGGATTAGAAAAAAAGGAACAAGCTAAGGCAAATAGTTTTCCTTTTTTCTTCGGTAAAAAGGCAAATACATTTTTCTAATGAGTTTAAGGTTTTTCTAGATGTTGTTAATTTGTCGAAATAGAAAAAGAAAAGTAAATTGAACCAGTTAGGTCCAGCCGGTTTGGGAAATTGTCATGTAGTATTTGGTATTAGGGTGTGTTTAGCCTGG